AAGCGGGTGGTTGGCACAATCTATACAATCGGGAACAGCACATTGCCACAGCAGGCAATCAATTAAAATCAATTAGCAACTAATGTACAGATCCATCATTTTTGAGAGCAAAGATCAGGTAGGAAATTATATCGCTAGTGTATCTACATCTACACAGTGACATGTTCAGTTTACAGTTTTGAATGCCCATGAAATTTGTTTCAAATGGTAAATATATGTTCTTGGCAAACCGCGTAAGCAGAGGATGCCAAGAAGACTGAAACCAGTGACATAGAGACTAACTGAGTCACTGACAGATCATTACCATAGTGTCATGGTTGTTTACGCATTCTGCAACACTAGAAACTAGTTTAGCTGAGGATTAGCTGGCTACAGGCAAACCACCAAGCTAATGACTACAGTAAACCAAGCTACAAAGCCAAAAAGAAACTACAACTGTCTGTAGAAGTAGGAATCTCACCACAGCTTTGTTGTTAACTAAAGATGCCGAGCTGAGGGCTGCTACTATGGTTTTTGCTGTTTGTATATTAAAAGTATTGTGTTTTCTTGCACTAAATGACACGCAAATTACTAAATCTATTCATCAATAAGAACTTGAATATGTATATACATGTAGAGATAACGCTCTTATTTATAATGCATATGTCACCGTGATTAATCGGTACGTACAATACTGTTCAAAAGTTTGGCATCACCATCCTGAGCTCCTTCATCACATCTGGTACGCTGCAGCCATTGTCAAGGATAAAGACAGACAGCAAACCTTCACCAGCTCTGCTTTGTGTACTTTTTAAAATGTGTGTCTAAATGCCGCAGCCAGGGGTCAAAACAAATTCCTTGTGTGTGTAAACAGACTTGGCAAATAAACCTGATTCTGATTCTGGATAGATTCAACAGCTAGTACTTGCAAAACATCAGTCTCAGATTCAACAGTGAAAAGGCAAAAGATTATTTCACACCTAAAGGTAACAAGTTCATCTCTACCAACAAGTACACACGTATGCAAAAAAAAAACGTGAGACAGTGCAGCCATCATACTGCCATGAAAATAAATTAAATCTCCTAGATATTAAGGTATTTTGGTGCGAAAAATGCAAATCAATACCAGAAAAACGCGTAGAATATATATGGATCCACAGTAAAAGTAAGTACTATAAGTAATATACCGACATAACGATTTGCAACTGCACATACGGACAAAGATCATAGTTTTTGTAGAAATTTCCCCTGGTCTGTAACACACATTATGACCATATTGTCACAAGTGGTGAACATTAGGTTCCCACTCTGGGGATTTTAGTGGGGTGCACACTTTATTTCCTGTGGTTTTGTTTTCATTGGGCACTCGCTGGTTTCAGTTAGGTGATTAGCTTAGATTAATCTGGGGTTTAGTGCCCTTTGCTTAGCATTGTTTGTATTTCCAAGTCACTGTGCTAAAGAGGTGAGTTCTGTGGTCCATCTGGCTGGTCTTCCGAAATTATTAATATGCCAGTAGCACACGTTTCTTTTGTGCTTTTCTTTTTATCAGTTATATGTTTTACGCTAGTTGAAAATCAGTTTTATTTGAATTAAAGAACCGTGAATGTGTATAGTAGCTCTGCCTGTGGCTTTATTCTGCACTTCACCCTAGTTACATGCCCAAGTTACGACGGTCCTCGTCGGCGAGCCGGAGACGGTTGTCCAAATGGACAGTGACCCCAACCATACTTCAAAAGTTGTTGCAAAATGGCAAAATGACAACAAAGGGATTGGAGTGGCCATCACAATGCCCTGACATCAATCCTATAGAAAAGTTGTGGGCACACCTGAAAAAGTGTGTATGAGCAAGGAGGCCTAAATAACATCATAACAGCTTCTGGAAGGCTAACCGAAACATTTGACTTAGGTAAATTAACTTAAAGGCAATGCTCTCAAATACAAGTTGAGTGTATGTAAACATCTGACCCACTGGAAATGTGATTAAAGAAATTAAAGCTGAAATAAATAATTTTCTCTAATATTATTCAGATATTTGACATTCTTAAAATGGTTATCCTAGCTGACCTAATACAGTGTCACAACTCCCCCCGAAGCTATTCTACCGCCATCTACTGGCAGGCTTCAGGTTTTTTAGTGCCACCTCCCCCTAATCACTACATTGTCTTGTCTCGTCATTACACACACCTGGTGTACATTCCCTCATTAGTATTCGTATATAAGTTGCCTGTGTTTGGCCATGTCTTTGTGTGGTATTGTTGCATGCACAGTCTATGTAGTTTGGTGTTCTGTTAAAACCAAGTGTTTTGGTTTAGTTAGTCTCCTTTTGGAGCATATTTGTCCCTCTGTGTGAGTGTTTAGTCCTGCGTCACTATATTTCGTACATGGTATATGTCTAGTACTGCTGTTGGACATTGTCCTAATTTTGATTGCTGTGGACTCTCGTAAATAAGGCAACTCAACTCATCCGCTCTGTTCTGGATCCTCCATTTACGCACTCACACTATAGAACTTTTACAGACAGGAAATATTTACTAGGATTAAATGTATTTGGATAAGATTTATGTAAAGCTATGACTTCAATTTCATTGACAGACACACCAAAATTTCATCAAGGAATGAAACAACTACCCATGTGAAATCCTTAAATGAAGTACAAAGCACTTCATCTTTTGTTTCTCTGCTGTGTCCTGGCCGATCCCCGGGGACGAACGCCAGTCACCCGCTCACACCGACAGTCATCTGAAAACAATTCAGCCCTTTTGCTAAACCCTCAGCCACACATTATCAAAACTGTCATTAACGTTCAAAGCTGTAAAAACGCTACTCAAAGGAAAAGCTATTTCCTGCTGTTGCTTCATGCTACGTAGCTTCCTCCTCTCCGCGCACAGACCGTCTCTTCAGACTGAACAAGTGCCCTTTTGGCTCGTCACGCCCGCATTCTACTTGCACGGGCGTGTCATTCACTCAGAAGGGCGTAATGTACACAGACATTAGGGTCTATCTGTCCATGTGCCTAAACATTGTCTTTTTGGAGGACTGTCCAGTTTGCTCTTGCCACCGTGTGGATAATATGCATAAACGAAGGGCCTTTTGTGTAAAACTCCATGTGCTGATTTCATTAAATTAAATAAAGCCTTTCCCTAAACATAATGCCGTCATATCTAGGAGGAAGGGAAGGGAACGGAAGCAACTGAAGCAATATCTCTATTGCCAGATAAACTAATGACTGCCTCTTTCTCCTATGCTGGTGAATCATCAAAAGAAGTCCTTGCATAACGACGGGTAGGCATGACACAGCTTTTCTGTCGCCGTGAACATTTTCAATGAACATCTTCTTAGATTGAGGTTAAAGCGCATTCGCGGGAGATTGTTGGGATTTCTTGGCTAATCAAAAGAATTACGTAAGATGTATGTATTAATAAATGAATTCACACAATATCAGATGGCCCCATTTTGAAGCCGGAGAAGCTCTTCATTAGTGATATAATGTTCGCAAATGATTCGTTCTTTTTGAACCGCTCTCTTCATTGACTCAAAGCTCACATGTGCTTTTGTTCGGTTGTATGGTTCATTCAAACGTTTGGCAGTGGAGTTTTACAACATGACTCTTGCTTCATACCCAGTCCTCGTGCTCGGAGAGCCGATCAACCTCTGTATACATTTGCAGAGAAATATAAATAAAACCAGGAACATTATAAAGACATGTTTATAACTGATAATTGAACACAGGCTACAATACTTCTTATTACAATATACACTCAGGTTGGAGTAATAAAAACTAATTTTTCCACAGATTTCATGTTTACAAATAATAGGTTTGGCAAGTCATTTAGGTCTTCTGTTTTGTGCATGACACAAGTGATATTCCTGTTTTCAGACAGGTTTTCTAATCGTAATTTACTATATCACAATTTCAGTGGGTCAGATGTTTACCTACACTAAGCTGACTGTGCTGTTAAACAGCTTAGAAATTGCCCAAAAATTGCATCATAGCTTTCGAAGCTATTCATATCTTATGTGCCATCATCTGAGTCACTTGGAAGGCGTACCTGTGGATTTTTTTCAAGGCCTACCTTCAAACTCGATGCCGCTTAGCTTGACATCATGGGAAAATAAAAAGCTCTGGTTCATCCTTGGGAGCAATTTCGAAACACTTAAAGGTTTAACATTCCTCAGCACAAGAAAACTACACTGGAAGTACAAAAAAACTTGAAAATAATACATAAAATAATGATGGAAGAAAACAGTAATTTCGCACAAAGCAAATCAGCTAAAAAAGAGGCTGATAGATCCTGTGGCAAAATACGCCTGAACATCGCCAGTTGCCAGTTCTTGATGGAAGGAACTCTGGAGCATAAGAGATAAAAAAGTGATTTTGACGTGGCAATGCTTCTGTTACACAGGTAGGTACGTTTAACTATTTTGCACGTTCTGTAATAGAGTTTGCATGCTAGCTTTTTTTTATTTGACTTGCTAGCTACTTTGAACATGTTGTCCGTGTTTGCTAGCTAGCTAACCTCAAACTGTTTGTAGTTGCCCTGGCCCTGTTGTTATTGCTAGCTAGACAGAAAGAGCAGGCTGTGCCTATAGCTACAATTTGGCCAAAGTCGAATAAAATGCATAAATACAAAAAATTATAATAAAATGCATAGCTGCATAGGCAAACTGAAAGTCCACGTTGAATTTTGTAGCAAGTTAAGCTAAACCACTTACTTTCCGTGGATATAATAAACTAAACCACAGTGGATATACTCGCAGACTAACTAGGCAATTACACATCTAACTGTAAATATTTTTTGGTTTTGTTTATATACCTGCCTAAATGTAGTCACAGTAAATTACAAGATATTATCAGGATGTGTTAAGAATCTGGATGCTCACTTTCGTTTGAAAAGCCTTCTCTGGCATCCCCACGCAGCCTCGCTTTTGTCCCCACATTGCACATGGTTATTTGGGGGATAGTATTTTACTCAGTAGCAGGCTACACATGCACAGCATGTACTTAGATAGGTACTTATATTAGATTGGTATCTCAGTGCTAGAGTGCATTCTTTGTATGCATTATGTCCTGGGTTCAATCTCCAGCTTCTCCCCAGGTCGCTGTTGAAACGTGAATTTGTTCTCATTCGGGCTACCTGGTTAAATAAAGGTTAAATAAATTAATAAAAAATTCTACACTGACATTACTGAGTCTATCCTGACCTCCTCCACCACAGTCTGGTACGCTGCATCATCCGCACTGCAGAGCAGGTCATTGGCTGAAATCTGCCTATGCGACCTAGACACCTCCAGGCCACTGAGGAGAGCTGCAAAGATTGTGGCTAATCGCTGCCACCCTGGAAGTTGCCTATTCAGAACTCAATCAGTCAATCAGGACCAAAACCTAGCAGCACAAGAACTGTTGTGCTACAAGAATCCACACTGGACAATTGCACCTTTTTAACATATTCTTTGTGATTCACTGTAGTCTATTGTCACCTTTTATTACCTGTGATAAGTGCTGCAGTAATCGCTGCCTCTGGCACCAAACTGACTACAGCCTGTCCTCCACATTCACACAGAAACCCCACTGGGCAATTGCATCTTACATATCAGACATTGTGTTGCAATTATACCTTGATGCAAGCAGAGGGTAAAGTTACATATATTGGATTTCAGGTAAGACACTTTCTAACCACGGATTGTTCAGCGTGGTCTACATTTCTTTCGCTTGGCGAATTAGTTCGCATGGACATATCCAGCCAAAGTCAAGATTTAAACATTTTAATGTAGCTGTAGATGTTCCAGGGAGTCTCTATGAAGCATTTCTCATAACAATAACAAATGAAAATGATCTATTTATTATTTTTGCTTTGGCTATTGATGCTACCACAATAAAATAACATTATTTTCAGCATCTAATTTCCATTGATCTGGAAGAACTTTGGTAGATTAAATTTGGCATATAATTTATATTCCTCTCGAAATAGTTCTCTCTTTAATTCCCTCTCCATCTTGCTTGGCTTCCCCTGGGAAGGAATTGCTACGTTTTTTCGTCTGTTTATGTGGTGCTGTCAAATTATCTCTCTATGTGAAGTTGTAGCGTTTGTCAGGGCTTAAAATAAAGAGGTGGAGGCAGCACACTACTTGCTCTTCAGCATATTGGGTATTATCATGAGGCTATTCTTTCAAACGTAAGATAAACTAAATCAGTTCAACGTTCATTTCAAGAATCAGACAATTACAACATTTGACTTGGTTTCAAGTGATCAAAGAAAAAAGTCTTCCCAAAGCATGAGCTTTTACAATAGACCTACTCTCACTTACCAGGACAGAATTATTCCCTGCATCTGCCAATAAAATATACTTAATATTTGATTCACAAACCGATGGCATTTCTCAAAATAGCTTAACTACATAATCAGTCGAATAGGAAGTAGATCTTCATTTCCTTTCTCTCTGTCTGTCTCAAACACTCTAAATATTGCATTACAAAAGCATATTCTTAACTATTACACAGTTTGGCATCACTTCTCTGCTTATTGGTTTCACATACATGTGCTATAAGAGACAAATTAAACAGTAGGTCTAAACAAAAGTAGAGCAACTGGTTTCGTTTACATGAAATGTAGAGCATTTTCAAATTGAAGCAGTCGGAAATATGATTCAAATGGACTTACAATAATGTAATGCCGTAGAAGTAGATGAGACCAGAACTGCTACTGAAACCTGGTCAGATCTCCCTATGTAGGGACAGGTTCAAAAACATCTAAACAGAGTTGGCACACAATTTCTTATACAATAAGTGGTGAGCAAATAATATGGGTTGAGAAGTTAATATCCTGTATATTATACATGAATCTACGGTTAATTAAGGTGATTTAGTTATTCTACGGTGTCAGGTGGTTTGATATGGTGAGCATGGTCATATTATTCTCTATGAAACACCTGGCTGGTGACTCCAGACCACCAGCACAGGGAAGTAATCGCTCAGGTGGCTGGCCTTTTAAGTCATGATCGACCTGTACTGTCCACCTACCTACTGACAGGGGATCCGTTCTTTGAACACTGGGTGACCTGAGTGGGTAAGGTCAGTGATGATCTGTCTTGTACATTTCGTTGTCTTGAAGTCATGTAGGAACTTAATGGAGGGAAGGCGGCAGGCACAATGACAATTTTTTTGGACTATGCATTGCAATTTTCCCCGACAGTGGGCAGACTTGGTACAAAACTAGACTGTGATGGAGGAGTTATTTTGACAGCACCAGGCCACCAGCACGTCGTCCAATCCCGGGTACATGGACCCATCGCTGTCGTGATGAGACTAAACAGTGGTAGCATCTGCATACATAAGTAGTCTACAAAAGGCATTATGGTATTGCCTAGTCAGCCCAGGACAGAGTACTGTGCAAGGATGTGCCATAGGATTACGGAGGATTGTGGAAAAGGTTTGGACTTGCCAACTGGAGTTTGTGCCTTAACCACTAGGGGGCGTAGTGGCGTCCAGGGCACTTAAATTGTTGTCTGCATTGTTGTCTGACATTTTGGTGAGCGCAATGCTAAGCTAACCTTCTAGAGTCTGAGGCAACTCTGATTTAATTTATGATTTTGTCTCTAAGCTCAGTTCCCTCTGGGAGGGAATGAGGTTGAACTTTTATTGCTACTCGTTTTTTAAATGTAACAAAAGGTATGACTGCAGTGTGCCTTCTTTTATCCCAAACACTTCAAATTGGAGTAGTGTCACGATGGGGAATAAAAATGAACTATTGTACTCATTTTTTCTCCATCTATAGTGTCAACTTACTGGTCATATGTTCTAACAGCTAGTCCTAGAGGAGCTATTGGTGCAGCAGGTAGCCAAGCAGTTAGTTCAAACAGTTTCTTCTTTCTTCAAATACCGTGCTAAAAAGGAGATTCATCTGTTGGTCTTTTAGTAATGACTTACAATTTTTAACAGGCCATTGCTGTATACAGGATTTTTTTGCTTAGTCACGTTACCAGGGAAAATAAGGAAAAAATTAACGAAAGAAAATACTAGGATAGTGAGAGCAGGTACTAGTGTAAAAATGAGTGTGTGAGTTTAACAAACGAAGTGTTACTGAGACACTTTTTACCAAGAGAGGATGGAAGATCTTCAAATCCGTCCGGGTCAGCAAGAGACGGTATTGATGAGGAAATGGCAGGGATCAGGATGTTTCGATTAATCAGGTTTATTCTGTTTGGAACCAAATCAATTCCTTATAATCTCTAGGAAGTCCGTGAAGAACAGATATCGGAAAAATCTGGTTAACAAATTAATGATTCGGTTTTTCCACACAAACATCGTGAGCTTGAATTTTTGTATGTATGGGTGGGTGTATTGACGTATGTGCCAAGTGTTTGTGTGTGTGTGTGGGTATGTATGCCCCCATATGTGTTCTGCATGATTATGCAAGCAATCAACACTCACCGGACACTTTAGACTGATTGGTCTAGGTTCAAGGCTGTGACTGCTGTTAAGTGGTTATTTGAGTATTTGGGGGTTTTCTCTCAGCCAGTTTGTATAGCTGATGTAGCTCCCATCAAAAGAGTAACTAGTCATATGTGTATTATTGATCTATATATAATTTAATTATTGCATGTACATAAAAAAGGAAAAACTATATATAAATATATATGTGTATATATATATATACAGGTGCAGCTCAAGAAATATGATAATTGTAGAAAAGTTGTTTTTTTCCATGATGTTATTGTGTTCAACTCTGTAATAACCGAGATTCCTACAAATTACTTATTTCAAAGCTTTTTTGTTTTAATCTTGACGATTACGATTGACATCTCGTGGAAGTCCACCATTGCCATGTCTAAGTGCACCTGGTCTGCATAGATGTTTAGGCAGGTGGCACACGTCAAATTGATGTACACAGGTACAGCACACGTACGTACGTGCACACAGCCATCCACGTGATACGAAAGACGTCAGGACTCATAGTCCCTGGCACAGCTCCGAGGTCCAGTTCTGACTCTCGTATGCCCATTGTAGGCTCATTCAATTGTGGACAGGCGTCATCATGGTCTCTCTATAACCAGAATACGGCTACCCAGCCGCATACGCAGTAGCCGTCATTAACATGTTCCGTGATTGTGCCGCAGTAGACCTTCTGTCAGACCGGACCAGGCGGGACAGCCTTCGTTGCCCTCACGCATTGATTAGCTTTGTGCTCCCATAGTGTGGTTGGTACCTCATCGGACCACTGTCTGTAGGTACTTACCTCCGCTAACCGGGAACACCCCACACGCCTTGTTGTTTCAGAGATGCTCTGAACCAGTCGTCTGGCCGTAATAGTTTGGCCCTTGTCACAGTCGATCAGGTCTTTATTCAACCTGTTGACTGCGAGAATAGATTGTTCGCTCGCTTATTATCTAATCCACCCAGACCCTTGACATCTGCATTTGTTAAAAGTTGATCAATGTTATCTGCTTCACCTGTGTTTGGTCATAATATTTTTGACTCATCAGTGTATATATTATGAGCAAGTTAAATGGGCCAGGAATTCTATGAGCTAAACTTGATCCGTGCTTTAATGACACTGTGTGATTTCCTAAAGGTTCCTAACCACCTAAGATTCCTCAGGAACGGATGTACCGAGCTTCCCGTGCTGTCATATTGACATTCCCAAGTAGAGTTATGATGCTACATGAATCTGATCATCCAATAGCTACCTACGCTCCAGTGGGTAGCTCACTCGGTTCCGTGCTTAACGCCTTTTCTTCTTTTGGCCATCATTCATTTAAATTAACCGCCACCAACGACTGGAACAAATTGCAAAAGACCCTTAAGCTCAAAACTTCAAAATAAAATGAACATTCGGGTATCTGATCAATCCCAATCCTCAATTTGTCAAATATTCCTACAAGTGACTGTATTTTAAGCTATTTTATGTTTATAGTTCAATGTTGATTTTTTTATTGTTAATATTTCTTTGTGTTTTTCGGATGCACCTTTCGATGGCTACAGTTTCAGACAGTCACCTTTTATTTAGTCTGTTTCAACAAATGCATGTTTCACCTATTAAGAATTACCATCCCTCCATTTCATGTGGGCATACGTATTGGCAAAATGAACCATAAA